ATTTCACACCTCTTTGGGTTGACTGAATGATGGATTTTCTGATCTTGCCAGAGCTCACTCCTACAGCTGAATTCTACTAGTGGCGAAGCTGGAGGCGGATCTTTTCCTCCACTGATCTTTCTTCCCAAGCTTCTTCATGACCTTATAATCTCAAATTTCCAAGAGTTTAAACACAGAAACTACAAGGTTTCTTGAGTCCAAGACTCTGAAATCAGTTCTACCACTTTTTTCTTGATCATAACAAGTAATAAGGCCAGTCTGTATTCAAGGAATGAAGAAAATAGACCTCACTTCTTGATAAATGAAACTGCAAAGATAAACTGTCATTTTCTTTTTCTTGGAGCACATGGCATTTGCTACTTTTCATTCCATCTTCCATAAGGCAAATGCCACCAACCAACCTCTCCAGTCGCCCAGACCCTGTGCCTTCAAGTCCATTTCAACTCATGGCAACCATGCACAGGGTTTCCAAAATTGGAAATCTTACTGGGAGAACAATGCTTATCTTTCTCCCATGAGTGTCTGGCTGATGAATTCAAACTTATGATCTTTTGCTTTACAACTCAACATAGAACAAATCACATCCCTAGGTCTCCATCCGTTCTCCATAGAGATCAGTATTTGTGAACATGTTTTGTCTGTGATATGAAAAAGAATCATCAAATGAAAAAAGGTAGCCTAAGCTAATTAACGGGAGCTCTTGTGGCCTAGTTAGTAAGGAACTGCACAGCAATCCTGAAGGCATGCAGTTCGAATCCATAAATAGGAGAAGGATAGGCACTCTCCTCTCATGCAATTAACTACCTCTGAAAACCCATTGGAGAGGCAGCTATAAGTAATTTCTGACTCAATGGCACACAACAACAAAACAACATTACGACAAAAAGCTAATTAGAGGGAGCTCTGGTAACCTCTAAGAATCATGATGTTGCCTATCAGCTTAGTGGTGAAGATTTTTGTTTATATAATCCATATTGAAGATATAGTTGAGATGTAATCCACATGGAAGGCAGACATCTTTTATCTTCTGCAAGAAACATTTAAAGTCCTCTTTAGTTCCAGCCAGTAAGATAGTATCATCCACATAAACACAGCTTGGTAATGGATTTTCCTTCAATCCTGATAACACATTCTTAATAAAGTCCACCTTCTCGTGTGATTTGCTAAACAGAGAGATCAAATAGGTATAGAGAAAGGATACAGTGCTGACACATACGTTTCTTTGACTTTGAAACCTCACAGTGTTCCCTTGCTCAGTACAGACAACTTCCTGGTCTATCCATAGTTTCATATGAGTATAATTAAGTGTTCTGGGATTCCTATTCTTTTTAATGTTAACCATAGTTTGTTATGATCTATACAGTCAAATACTTTGTATAGTTTATAAAACACCTAGATGTTCTTCTGGTATTTCTGTTTGCAGCCAAGATCTATCTGTTATCAACAATGATATCCCTTGTTCCATGGCCTCTTCTAAACCCAGCTTGAACTTCTGACAGTTCGTTGTCAATGTATTGTCCTAGCCATTTTTTCAATGATCTTCAGCAGTATTTAGCTCACCACAGGGATGATACAATATCGTATTTAATGGAGAAAAGATTGAAATTGGCAACTATTGAACATAACTGAGAATCAGTAATGTCTCTTTGAAGACCGAGGTGCACCTGATTCAGGCCATGATCCTTTCAGGCACTTGGTATGCTTCTGAGAGCGGATTGAATAAGCATGACGTTGAATAAGCATGACAGAAGAATTGATGTCTTTGAGTTGTGGTGTTGGAGAAGAGTACTGAATACTCCAAGGACTACAAAAAGAACAAACATATGTCTTGGTCAAAGTACAGCCAGAATGTTCCTTAGAGACAAGGATGATGAAGCTTCCTCTTATATGCTTTGGGCATGTTGTTAGGAGGGCCCTTTCTTGGAAAGAGACATCATGATTGGAACGGTGGTGGGTCAACAAAAGAAAGGAAGGCTCTCAATTAAATGAATTGACACAGTGACTTCAGCAATGGGCTCAAGTATGTCAGAGATAATGAGGATGGTACCGGATAGGACAAGGTTCAGGTCTGTTGTTCATAGGTTCAGTGTCATTCATATTTGACCTTATAGAACCTAACAACAACTGATGCCCTAGTTGTAAGGAGTTATGCTGCTAATTGCAAGGCACTCAGTTCGAATCAAAATGTTGTACTATGGAGAAAGATGGATAGTCTCTCCATTTATGATTTTTAGCCTCTGAAAACTCACTGGACGGTCAGCTGTGAGTCAGTTCTAACTCGATGGCACATAAGTTAAATAGAGGAGGAAGAAAACCACTAGGGATTATAAGTCATTTTTAGCCTTTCTAAATTCATAATAAAGAATATGTATTTTGATCTTTCTGCCGCGGCTGCCACAGACGTGTAGCAGCCATGGCTGTGCGCTATCCCATGGCTGTGCGCCTCAATAAGGGCCACAAAGTCAAGAACGTGAGGAAGCTGAGGCGCAGCCGCCGCCGCAGGCGCCTCACCAATTTTGTGCGGGACATGATCCGGGAGGTGTGTGGCTTCGCGCCCTACGAGCGACACGCCATGGAGCTGCTCAAGGTCTCCAAGGACAAGCAGGCCCTCAAGTTCATCAAGAAAAGGGTAGGGACACAAATCGGTGCCAAGAGGAAGCGAGAAGAACTGAGCAGTGTCTGGGCCGCCATGAGGAAGGCTGCCAAGAGGGACTGAGTGCACCCCACTGTCCCCCAAAGCCCTCACGCATCTGACATAATAAAGTGTAATAAAAAACAAAAAAAGAATGTGTTTTGTAGTCAGAAAATAAGTAATGTCCAAATAGTCCTGCATTTATGAATGATGTTTATAAGCACAAAAATTTAATTCGGAAGTGACAAAAATCACACTGTAACTTGGGTCTTTACAGTTTGTAGTTTGCCCTTTTGAGTAATTCAGAATGAACAAATTGTTAAATGTAAAACTTAATGACAAAGATAATACTTTTTTCCAGATGACTCACAAAGAAACCGAAATGCTTGTGTAGAAAATTATTTTATGAGCAGTAATACTATCTTCTTCTTCCCATATTTAAAATATTTCAAGAATGTTAAGAATGCTGCTTTACTTCTGATGGAAAGTGACAGATTACTCATCAGTCTACCCAGAGTGAAGTGGACAGAAGCGGCACTGGCCATGGCATCTCAGCTCCAAGAAGAATGTATTACATTCATGGTGGTACACTTCTCCCAGATAATTCAGAGTGAAAATTTTGCTCTTCTGTTACAGGTACGATGATTAAAATGATATTCCATATTTAATTATAAATCTTTGTGATTTTAATTATGTAAGAGTCTTTAGATTCACTGCCTTCTGCTGAATTAGTATGATTTAAATAAATCCCATAGCAGATGGCATGTTTGCGTAGCATTTAGAGAAGCGATAGGTAGGATTTTTTGGCTCACAAGGGAAGGAAATAAGGACAGACAGGTGTGAATACCCTGGCGAGGCACAGTGTAACTCGGGCCAACTCTGCCCCTCTATGAGTATATGCTACAGTTCAGAAACCAAAGTCATAAAACTATTGTTTTGGTCACGTTTTTAAAAAATAATTTTTAATTATTATTAATTTTCATGAAAATTTACAGAGACATTGGATTTCCATTCATTCATTGTTGAACTTTTCTCCCTGTGCCGCCCCCCCCGCCCACCCCCCCAGTTCGCACTTCTCTTTGAAAAGAAAAATTCTAGGGGAGCTCTGGTGGCCTAGTGGCAAGGAGCTGCAACTATAATCCCAGAGGCAAACAGTTCAAATCCACCAGATGCTCTGCTGGGGAAGGAGGGAAAATCTCCTCCTATACCTGTCAGATCTGATTTGACGGCACACGCACACAAAAATAATAAAATAAAAAAGAAAAGAGAAATTCTTTCATTGTTATACAATCCCTTTTCCCAAGTCCACTCCACTGTGCAGCCTTCTTTCTGGACTCTAGTCATGACAATAATACCTAATCACATAACCCTTTTAAACAGTTCTCTCACTCATCTGTTTCAATGCAGTATACATTATTGAACCCACTTTTCTCAGTCTCCCCCCAACCCTGATGTCAGTCCCATTTTAAAACAGTGGCACTATGCAGTATTTGTCCTTTGTGACTGAGATATTTCACTCAACATAATGTCCTCCAGGATTACCCATTTTGTATGCTATTTCCTGAGTTCCTTGTTTTTCAATGCATCATAGTATTCCATTGTGTGAATATACCAGAACTTCTCTGTCCATTTGTGGATGAGCTCTGAGGTTGTTTCCAACTCTTTGCTATTATGAACAATGTCACAATAAACATGGGTGTGCATATATCTGCTTGAGCAGCAGTTATGGTTTCTTTGGGGTATATTCACAGTAGTAGAATTGCTGGGTCAAATGCTATTTCTTTTTTTTATTAATTTCTTTATTTTTCATTTCAATGAACATCTACAGAGATTTTGGAATTCCATTCATTCATTGTTGCACCCCTCTCCCCGCCCCCCTCCCCCCGTTTGCTATTTCTATTTGCAACTTTTTGAGAAAGTGCCATACAACCTTCCATAGTGGTTGCACCATTTTACGCTCCCACGAGCAATGAACAAAGGTTCTAGTTTCTCCACAACCTCACCAGCATTTGTTGTTTGCTGTTATGTTGAATTTGGTGTCCTTACTGGGGTGAGATAATAATCTCATAGTTGTTTTATTTTGGTCACTCATTCAAAAGTAGATCTTCCAGGGGACACACTTTCTCTAACATTTGCCATTGAAAATAGAACTTTATTTACTAATGTTTATTTTCTTTTACTAGGGTTGTTTTGACTCTTAATAATGGGTGTATTTTTAACAAAGGAAAGGGAATGCAATTTTTGGTTGAGTTCAATATAGCCAGTTAAGATAAAAAGGTCACTATTATGGCAGACTGTCACATTCTTAGCCATTTTGCGTATATGTTCTTGTTAAATATAAATTTTCTGTATTTTATAGTCACAAGCAATGAGCAGCACTGCTGATCTGTTGGACAAAGTTTTAAAAGCAATTGAAGAAAATATTACCACTGAAAATAGCTGCTCTCTTCTTATGGCTCTGGACACATTACTGAACTCTGAAAATACAAAAGAAATGGTACTGGATACAATAAGAGTCACAAAAATATGCATTATTTGAGTTGTTTTGAGGTTTTTAAATATATTGCATAGAAATGCTCAGGATCATGAAGCTAATAGAGGGATACATGAGTCTTATGCTGTTTTATGCATGCTTGAAATTTTTCTTAGCACAAAATTCTCATAATTCCATTTACCACAGAATGAACTCATTATGAAAGTTAAGAATTTGGTAGTTGGGCTTGTGTATTATAAATGTATTTTGCTACTTAGCAATAGTAATGATCATAGCATTACTAATATTCTTACCTTGTCACTATCTTAAATTTTCTGAATATGATATTTATATTTTAAAACATAACTCATTAGTCTTTTTATAATATATTCTTAGTTCCTTTTATAATTTTCACTAAAAATATATTTTAACATGGTATTGACTGGGAAAAGGTAAAATTAAAAGATTACTCATTATGTACAGTTAATCAAAAGTAATTAATAAGATGGTTGCAGATTGTTGGCATATTTTATTTAACAAGAATGATTCAAATATTTCATTAAATTTATTGCTATTCTATAGAGTATTTGACCTTGTAAAGTCATAGTTGATTTCAAAATGGCTAAATGGCACTGGTGATTTAAAATAGCATTTGATTGAAAAGAGAAAATTTAGGTTCATGTTTGACTATAAAATTATGTTGGTGAAGCAGAAGCATTCATAAATAACACACAACCAGTGATCTTAAAATCTAAGTGATGACATCATTGATCTAGCTTAGGAGTAAGTAGATTCTGAAAGGAATAATGACTGGTTGCTATGACAATGTGGCTCTCACCAGCTGCTGATTTGTTGCCTGAACACAGGGCTTTACGTGCAAGATCCAGGCTCTGCGTGATAAGCTGTGGGTCTTCCTGGTACAGTCTTTCTATGCCGTTCGTCACACAGAAAGCTGGAAGCTGATGAGCACAGATGATCAACAGAAAATCCAAGGAGGTATGTTAGCCTTGAGATGTTGTTATTCTTCTATTATGATTTTTGTGACAACAGTTATTTTGAGAATATCTAGTAAAAGGTCATGTCAACATTTATGTGTTTCTTTTAAGTAAAATAGGTTGCTAAATGAATCTAGTAATAGTATGTTTAGGCAGTTTTAAGAAATCAAGATTTTTTTTTTCTGTTTCACAACAGAAATTTTCTGTATTTTATAATGAAACTCATTTCTGGATATATATCTCAAATTTTATGCTATTTCAGTATTGGAAAAATTCTCCAGCCTAATTTGCTTAAAAGCATTCATATAAAGAGATTAGAAGTATAAGAAATAGAATACACATAGAACAGTTTACCAAATAGACTCTCTCTCCCTCTTGAAACTACATTTTTGCGGTAAAGCTTTTCTACCATTTGCCTGAGCTGCTATTTCTTGTGAATTCTGCCTAGATTAGATTGATTTATTTCACAATCGATTGGTTCAGTGATATGCTGTGTGCTCTTGCAGAGTGTTCCTCAGGAACTGCACAGTGGTCTCTGACATTTAATATGTACTATTTGAAACATTACCATTAAATAAAAGATGTATGTTGCCCAGCAGTATCTCTGCTTCCAAAATATTAAGACACAGTTTTGAGGGTGGGAAATTGAAAATGGCTTCATGACTGTTTTTGTGGCAAAGCAGATATCTTAGGAAAAATTATTGGCAGATTCAGCAAGGAGACTTTAAGAAATATTTTAAGTGAGAACGCTATATTTTATGAAGTTTATGGTTTTGTATTATTAAACCATGATATTGATCGAACATAGATAATGTTAAATTCTTTGTAATGTAGTCAAAAGACTATATTCTCTGTCTTGCTTTATGAGTGAACATTGCATGATAGTATAGCTAGATGTGAACTAATGAGTACTTCTCAAAGAAATTCTTTTTTTAAAAAAACAACTAGTATCTTGAAAAGGATTTGGAAAATTTTCCTTATAATTATTTCTAGCTGGTAGTTAGATTACTGTCTATTACAAAATCTAAAATGTAAAGAAATCAGATTGTAATTTTTAGTGTATCAGTTCACCACTTCTGATTGGTAACAAACTTTGTTTTCTCTATTTTTTATGGATTTCAAAGTTAAGAAGGGCATCAAGCAATGTCATTTTTATTCTTCAAAGTATATTTCAAATTAAAATGAATGTAAATACACAGACATACACGTGCACTTATAAAGCAGTATGTTACATACTAGTAGCCCAATTCTCAAGAAAACATCCCAATCTATTACAGTATGAAGTATAATAATTTCTTAGTCTTAAATGAGTTAAATAATAATGAGCTATAACTTATGTATAATTACTTCATATAACTGCTCTAAGTTGGTTTTGTTAGAATAGTCTTGTGTTTTTATTAAGATACTAGTCTTTGGGAGAAATTTGGTATTAATTTACCCTTGTATATTATCGTACAAAGTCATTTATGTTTTGTGAATCAGTCCTAATAATGCCATTTCCAGGATTCTGCCTTGCCAGCAGAACTTTCATAAAGAGATGCTAGAAATTGCATAATAAGAATCACAGAAAATTTAATAATATGCTTTAATACAAGTCAGATAACCTAAAGGTTCTAAAGAAATATATACATTTCTTCAGAATATATTTTAAAGTACTATATGAATTTCCTTCAAAAAGAAGAAATACAAGAACTAGATTTATAGCTCTTATGCTATTATTCATGTATATTTTCCTTATGTCATTCAAATTCTTATATAAAGAACATCAGAATGAGTTCCCAAATAATTTCCATTTAAATACAACCTAAAAAATTTATTTTTGTAAAATACTAAGAAACTAATGTGTGCTTGGGGATTGTTTTTTGCTTTATTTTCAATAAAACATTTTCCCCTTCTTACTAGGACATTGAAAACCAGAAAATATCTGTAGCTAATTTCAGCAAAGTATTTTTAGAAGTTTTGAGATTAGTATGTTTGTATAGTTAATAATTTGTAAAATACTACATCTATCACCATGTAGAAATTTTTTTAATTTGAAAAACTAACCGAAACCAATTATCCATAATATTTTACATGTGGAAATATTCTATTTTTGTATACATGTGTGAATTATCTTCGTGAAGGAGCACATTTATTCATTTTAATAACACAAAATCCTTAGAGAGCAGATAATGAGACTTAAAAGGTCTCTTTTGGGAAAAAAAAGAATTCCTAAAATATATTAGAGAACTATTCATTTGTAATAAGTTGACTTCATCTTTTTAAAGTTATTTTCATACACAGGTACCTTTTTTCCCCCCAGTAGTGTGCTCCCTTCCCTTTGTCTGTGTAATGTTGATGATGAAAATAATGCTTCCTGTGAAAGTAAATTACTATTTCTTTCTACAGCTGCATTTGACAAAGGTGATGATCGAAGACTAGGCAAAAAGCCTGTATTCACTAGTTCTCAGGTAAACATTCAAAAGGTGCCAAATAAAGTAGATTTTATTATTTTTTATTTGAGAATAGCTCTTTTTAATTAACATTTTTATCATTCATACATTGTATTTCATGCATGTACACTGTATTTTATATAATCTTGAGAATAAGTTCTGAAAACAATTTAGTATTTCATTGATTAAAGTTGTTTATTAATGAAGATGATTGTCTCTTTTTTAATCAAGTGAGCATTTTATAAATTTCTGAGTGCTGTGAATTTTTATATCCAGCTGGCACAGGAAGTGAAATATTTTCTACCTTTTTCATTTCCTTGAAAACTCTTTTGGCAGCTAACATACTGGAGCTATTCCATTGGATCACAAATTATCTAGAATTCTACACCCAATTCAATGTCCACTTTTCTAATTAACCTACTTCTTGCAAAGGTTTAGCTGTTCCAATTTTTCTCTGTATTTAAGTTAATTGTTTTTCATCTAGAAAAGGCAGTACTAAGAGTACTTCCACTCCCACACTCTAGAAGTTACTTTGCATATTTGCTATAACCTGAAATGCATTTCCTCTTTCAGAAGTGTTTTTAGTGATAGAATTCCAAGTTCATTTGCAGATGCTCACTTAATGAGTAACGTTTGATACCTAAAACTAAACCAACCTAGGCCATGAATTAGAAAGCTATGCCTGGTGTATGTGCCAGGCTGCTAACACAAGGGTTGGTTGGTCAAATTCACAAGCCTTTCTAAGGGAGAAGAATGGGCACCATTCTTCTGTAAAGAACCAATGAAGAGTTGTAGCCGTCAGAATTGACTCATTGGTAGTGGATTTGCTTTGGTGTTTAGTCCACGTATTATAATAGAGACATACTTTGAAAGATATAGTTGGAATGCAAAGAACACACTGCCCTTGCAAAATGAGTTAATGAATTTTTTGCCCCTCATCAGCTATTAGCTCAGAACCCAGAAAACTCCAGGCATAAACTGAGAGCTTTTAAGGCTTAAGGTAGGGGTAGAGTTCTAGTTGTGGATGAGAAGCAGTGGGACACTGTAAGTTTTTGCCACTAAACTCCTAAGATTTGCCCAACTAATATTCAACAATACTTGTTCTAACATTTCTTGTTGTGTACCACTAAGTCATAACCAACCTGTAGCTGACTCTCCAGTGGGTTTTCAGAGGCAGTAAATCACATGGGTGGAAATTGTCATCTTTCACCCACACTGCCATTTGCATTGGCAGTATGCTGCAATCATGAAGGTTTGAATCCACTATCTCCGCCACAAGAGAAGGATGGGCAGTCTCCTCCTGTGTGATTACTGCCTCTAAAAAACCTGCTGGAGGGTCAGCTATGGGTCATTTACAACTTGCCAGCACACAACAACAATTAACAACATATAGGGGTCAGCTGTTTTTCAGAGAAAAGAAGATTCTGTATCCCACTTTCCAGGGGCTGTGTAGTCTAGTTACATAGTAAAGAGTTGCACTGCCGACTCATAGGTGCCTTGGTTTGAATCCATCAGCAGCTCCTAGAGAGAAAGATGGACAAATGTCCTCCTTTGTCTATATAGCCTCTGAATACCCACAGCTAAGGGCCAGTTATTGATATAACAAGAAGTTTAGTTGAATTTTGAGAAACGCTGCATGTTATAGTGTCTCCTGAAACTAATAGTATGCTTTAGCACTTAAAAAGCTCTGATAAGCAGTACAATAAAGAACACCATATATATTCTGCTCTACCCAGATCTTCCCCACATTTTATAAACATAAAGCATGATTACCCTCCCCCCCACCTTTATTGTATAGTTCTAATAATTATACTTTAGGAAATACTAATTGATCTCTAGCTACTGGCCTTTCTGCCTTCCTTTTTCCTTTTCTGCTAACTGTTATCAGGTTACTAGATAGATACTAACATAGCTTACAGCAAAAATGTCTAGTTTAGTACCATTGCTTATAGCAAGTGGGACTAAATGAAAATTTTTTCTTTTCTGGGCTTACATTTTTTGTTTGTTAGTCTCATAGCCCTTTCTTTATCCTTATTATGTTGAGGTTGTCCAGGGGTTTGTATTATTAACAACAATAAGAAGGAAACAAAAGAGTAGATTTTCATTCCTACTCAAAAATTCATTGCTGTCAAGTTGGAATCAATGTATAGCTGAGCCTCCAGGTGGGCTTCTGAGACTATAAATCACAGGAGAATGCTTATCTTTCTCCTGAGAAGCTGCTGGTGTATTTCAACTACCAGTGAAGCTCATTCTTTGAATTAGCCATGAAACTCCCTACACACTACACATAGCATCAGAAGAGCTGGGGTCAAATCATGTCTGTCCCTTTGTTATCTGTAATTCATCCTGGACAAGACACCTAAATCACATAAATATTAGTTTGATTATCTATAAAATAGAATTATAACACTGGGAAAGATCGTTATGAAGGTGTAATAACATGTACAATTATCCTGGTATGAATAAGTACTCAGTAAATATGCATGAATAAATGCATTTTCCAAAGAGAGATATGTGCTCTTCCAGACATAGGAGAAAATGCAATAAGAAAGAGAAAAAAGAGTTAAGGGTAATGGTACTGAAATACTTATGGATAAAATTCTATGTCTGTAATTTGTTTAAAAATAAAATGAGATAAATATGAAACACAATTATTGGCCATGAGTTGAAATTGTAAAAACTGTATAGTTTGCATTTTGGTATTTATTATTCCATTACTTCTTCTTCTGATTGTGTTTACATTTTTCTAAAATGTTTAAAAAGGAAGTTACTAAAATGGTAAAAATGTTACCATCTGAAAGAATGCCTAAGAGACAGGCTTTTGAAGGCAGCTATTTTCTTCTTTGTTTTTGTCAGTAACCTGTAGTGACTTCCCAGGAGGAGGCTGTGGCATATAAGGAATATATGCAAACTTTAGATATTAAATCAGGCACTGGCTATGTATGTGGTATGTTAATGTGAATTTTCTAAAGAAATTTAGTTAACAAATACATGGTATAGATTTTAGCCATAGCAGGATACTTAAATATAGATAGATTAAAAGATAAAGTCAGAATCATTCATTTTTAAGAGTGAGAAATAGATTCCAAAGACGTCGTCAGCCTGGGTTTACATATTGACAGTTTGGTCCTTTTTTTGAACTATATTTGATTGAGAAAACAGAAAATGAAGGCCAAAGCCCACTTGAATTTTGTAAATGTTACACAGATGAAGACAGCACAGGGTCTGCGCTAACCTCTAAAATCCCATACAGCTTTGCAAAGGGCAGGAGAGGGAGGGAGCGAGGGGAGGTATTTACATAAAGAATGTCTTAATATAAGTCTTAAAAATATATTCTTAAATCTTTACCAGCCTTCTGTGTTGTTGTACCCTTTTATGTGAAGGTTGGCTCTAAGCAAGATGATGTAGTTGCGTTTGTCTTCAGTGCCCTACTATTTTTCCTTTTTTTAATCTAACCCTTTCCTTCATTTCCTTCAGACAATTAGTACTATGCTACTAAGCCACACTTTTCAGATATAATATATTATGTTCCACAGGAGTGTTTTGTTTTTAATGAAGACTCTGGTAATTAAACAATTCTACCCAGAAGGATAAAATATTTAATGATAAAATCTCTGGAATTAATCAGGAATTCAACTGTGGTAGAGTTGAAGAGACAATTTTTGGTAATAAAAAAAATCATAATGCCTGTCAAGTAAGAGCGATCTCATAGATTTGTAAGGTTTAAATGAGATGATATGTAACAAGGGTTTAAAAGCCTTCAAACACTACTGGACATTATTATCATTCTCCAAATGCAATTGACTTCTTTAGGTATTAATCTCTATCATTACTTTGTAAATATAGATAACTCTTAAGTAAACATTTTAAGCTGTATTTCATATTTTATTAAAGTGAAACAGGCTAAATTCCCCTGTAAAGACCACTTCACTCAGGTAACCCTCAATCATAACATGAATTTTGCTAATTTTTTCCTCTTTGTAACACTAGGTTATTTAAACATTTTATATCAAAGGCCTAAAAATGGTCAGTAATTCCTAAAAAACTCTAGTCAAGTTACAAATTGGTTTTGTTTTGTTTTTTTTTTTCCTTTTCTATAGCAAAGGAGACAAGCATCTGAGTCCTGTGTTACAAAAAACAATTCTTGCAGGGAAAATAACAAGAAGGAGTGTTGGAGTTATCCTTCTACTCATCGAAAGATGAAATCTGATGGATTAGGTGCTTCTGGACATTCATCAAGTACTAACAGAAATACTATAAATAAAACTTTGAAGCACAATGATTTAAAGGAAAAGAGTGGTACAAAAATAGCATCTACAATTACAAAAGACTTGAAAACTGGGGGAAAAAATGTTTCTGGGAAGGCCAGAGCCGTAATTAGGCCCAAACCAGAAAACAGTGCTGCTAATGCAAAGTCTGAAAACATGTCTCCTAGACAAGTTGTGGAAGGGGCAGCCGCAGCATTTGACCCAAGGAATTCTTTAAATGGAAAAGGAGTGAAAAGTCAGAAAGGACAGATTGCAGGTGCCAGACCCAAGGTCCTCTCTGGAAGCTTAAATGCACATGCTAAAGCAAAGCCCTTGAAGAAAATAACAGGGATAGAGTCTCCAGTCCTTAGCATCACAGGACTTTCCAGCAAATCTACCAATTCAAGTATGGAGTTACTGATTTCTGCTTGCTCTCTTGATGAACCAAAAGAAAATGGATCAATAGAAGAAAAGCCATCAGATAATAAACTGTCTTTTTGTGACTCCCAAGGACAGACAGTGAAAACTAACGTGCAGAGTGTCAGCACTAACACTGTAGGTGGGTTTTAACACTATAATTTTTAATAGCTGCTGGTAACTAAAGTTCATAGAAAATGAATCTGTATGGAATTTTTTTTAAATGCACAGAGTATTTACTTCATGCTTACCAAGGAAAAGAATTCTCCTCATTTGAACATTTAACTTTTTAAATAAAATTTTATTTTGTGATTTTAATGAAAGTTTACAAAGAAGTTAGATTTTCATTCACTCTTTGTTGGACATTTTACCCCCTTTCCCTCCCTCCCCTCCTTTTCTCTTTTCTATTTTTAATATTCATTCATTGTTCCACAATTACTTAACTCTCCCATTCCCCAGTCCTTTTTGCATTTAATTTTGTTACATTGCCTGATCAATGAATTTATATATTTAATATGTTCTATCTTGTGACTTATTTTTTTCTTAAATTTATACCAGTAAAATCTCGACCTGTTTCAAGGGTTACCAATGGAACTACCAATAAAAAAAGCATTCATGAACAAGAAATCAACATGGACAACAGGTAGGTGAACCTTCAGTGTTTTACCTCTATGTTAGCTTTCTCTGGAAAAAAATATATATCCTAACTTTTGCTAAAATTTTTAAAAGTCTTCTGTATTTTTTCTTCTGTAAAAATAAAAATGTATTTTAAAAACTTTTCTTTTGAAAAATAATGTCTTTGGAGAGCACTGGTGGCCTAGTGGCAAGAAGCTGCACTACAATCCCAAAGACATACTCAAATCCGCCAGTTGCTCATTGGGGGAAAAGATAAGGCCTCTCCTCCCTGTGATTAACTACCTCGGAAAACTCGACGGAGGGTCAGCCTTGGGTCAGTCCCCACTCGAGGGCACGCAACAACAGCAACAACGACAATGTAGATTTATATTAAAAAAAGTTAAAATACCCTAAATTACCCTTGTGGTGCTTGATTATTTCTTTCTCAAACTTGATTTCTAAATTTATAAACCTAAAGACTTACGTCGGGAGCACTGATGGCCTAATCCATAATTGTTTGCACTGCTAACCCAGAGGCCATGCCTCTCTGGAGTTTTGAATCCACCAGCGGCTTTGTGGGAGAAAGATGGGGAATTCCCCCTGTGCCATTTACAGCCTCAAAACCCACTGGAATGTCAGCTGTGAGTTGGTTCTGACTCGATGGCAGTGAAGACTTATGCACTCATAATATTTCTGCTTTCAGAAAATTCATTTTTTTCTTTTGAGAAAAAAAAATGTTTATGTATGGGCCTTTGATTGGGATTTTCAATGTAATATTGAATATAAATCCATTTTCTTAGTGGGTTAAAGAAGGGTCTTGGCAAAGGACCTAGTGATCCAGTACCACAGGCAATTCTGAAGAAAAGAGGAAATGGCAGTGGATCTGCTACAGCTCAGCACAGGACAAAGACCACCTCGTCTAATCTTGCTAAAAACCAAGGTAAAAATTAAATAACACTGGATATCATGAATATAGCATGCTTAAATTGAGTTTTAAAAAGTCTGATTTGAAGCTTCAGTAGTAAGAAAACAAAATCTAATTTGGTTCTCCTAATTTTAGATTTCATAATATAGAAGATTTTTTTTAAAACAGCAAATTTAAGAATCTCAATTCTGACTTAAGAGGTTTTGAACTAAAAGTTTTTAAAAAGCAACTCACCAGGAGGCAAGTGTTTCTGAACATTTCTCATCCTCTTGCAGAGGGAATGGTTTACATGTTCAGTAATTTTTTATTCCCCTATTCAATCTTGGCTGCCACCAACAGGCAGACAGAAAGCGCAAAGAACTTTATTATTGCATCTGTGATGGAAACTCAAAAGCAGACAGGAACTAGATGCATTAGAAATAAGATTTTATATTAATTTTCAGACAAATATTTTGGTGTTGGTAGACTGAGTTTGATTGTTTTTATTCTCTTGAAAGTGATTGTAGTGTCCAATTTGAGAGAGTCATTAGCTCCTTTTCATTTCTGGCTTTTTCATTTTTATTTATCATGCCTGTTCTTGGTTTCATTGACCACAGGAATTTGCAAAGCTAACACTAAAGAGCTTTTTATTTTAAAAGAAAGAAAGAAAGATAATGGCGGTGTTCTCTAGAAAACTATAATAAGGAGGGGGAATTTTCCCCCAACAGCTATACCATTCCTATTGTTCTATTATGTTTTAAGAGTGAAAAAATGTACTGATCAGATTATATATTACTAAACACAAATTTATTCAGAGCATTCATATATGTAAGTGCAGTTTTTGAAATCCTATAAACAAAGTTTTAGTTGGACTAGGAAAACCTAAAAGTCTGTTAAAAATAAGACAGAAGGCAATTGAGCTAAAAATTAAGCATTTAAATATTGTAATTATCGTGAGATTTGAATGCCAAAATATCATGTCTAGTACTTTAATGTAAACAAGTAGAATCTCAAAATTAATCCTCTTTCCCTCAGTCATCAGTTTCTGTTCCCTCTGCACATCTAAGTTGTCCTTAATGAAAGCACTCAGGGTACACAAGTTAAGAACACAGGCACTAATGGAAAACTTGGTTCTGAATCCACCCAGGGGTATTGAGGGCATGACAATCTGCTCCCATAAATGTTACAGCTAAGAAAACTCTATGGAGTAGATCTACTCTATAGCATGGGTTCAGTATGAGTTGGAATTGCTTCGATGGAACCTGCAGCAACCTTAATGAGCTACAATAACAGTGAACTTATTACCAAAAATAATTTCATTTTCTTTATTATTAGATTTAAAAACTATAACTGTTTAATTTTTATTTTCTTACTGTGATTTTAACAAAAGTTTACAGAAAAGTTGGATTTTCATTCATTCATTGTTGCACATTTTCCTTCCTTACCTTGTCTTCTCCCTCTCCCAGTTCACTGTTTTTTTAAACATTCATTGTTGCACAATTTCTTCCATCCGCTCCTCCACTCCTCCAGTCCACTTTGCAGTGCACCTCTTATTCTGGACTGTTATTATACAAATAATGCTTAATCATACTCCTCTTAAGTTCTTTCCTTCATCTGTTGCAATGCAGTGTTCATCATATATCCCCTCTTTTCCTAGTTTGTACCTAAGTCCCTGTGAAAGTTTGGCTTTATAACAGTGGTGTTAAACAGTACTTGTCCTTTTATGACTGAGATATTTCACTAAGCATAATGTCCTCCAAGGTCACCCATGTTGTATAATGTTTTATGAGTTCCTTGTTTTTCAGTGTTGCGTAGTATTCCAATGCATGAATACACCATAGTTTTTCTGTCCATTTGTTGATAGGCACTTGGGTTACTTTCATTTCTTTGCTTTTGTGAAAAATGCAGCAATAATCATGGGTGTACATATATATGTTTGGGTGACAGCTCTGGTTTCTTTAGGTATATCCCAAGTAGTGGAATTTCTGGGAATGGTGTTTCTATTTCCAACTTTTTGAGAAAGCACCAGACGACCTTCCATGGCATTGAACCATTTTACACTCCCACCAGCAGTGAATCCATTCTCTCAACAACCTTGCCAGCATTTGTTGTTTGTGGCCCTGTTGAATTTTGCTATTGTTGCTGGGGTGAGATGATATTTCAAAGTTATTTTGGTTAAAATCTCTCTTATAGCTAGGGATTCTGAACATTTCTTCATGTCTTTGTTTACCATCTGTATGTCTTCGTTGGTGGTCTACTTATATCCTGTACCCATTTTGTGATTGAGTTGTAGTCTTTTTTTTTTTTTGGTTGAGGTTCTGTAGTATTCCACAAATTTTAAATATGAGTCCCTTATCAGACATGTCATTACCAAATATTTTCCCAGACTGTGGCTTTCCTTTTTACCCTGTTCAAGAAGGTTTTTTATGTGCTTAGATACTTGATTCTTAGATCTCATTTATGTGCCATTCCGACCTCCAATTTGACGGTACACAATAATTTAAACAAAACAAAACAAAAAGGTCTCACTCATCTATTTTATTCTCTCCTGGTTTTAGGTTTTTTCATGATGCTTAGAAGACTGTTCATCCTGTGGATTAGGACTTGTAGAGTTCTTCCAAGCTTTTCTCTGATGAATTTTATAGTCTTTGGTTTTACTTCTAGGTCTCTGACCTGTCTTGAGTTGGTTTTTGCTCATAGTGTGAGGTGTGGATCTTGCTTGAGTTTTCTACAGACGGTTTTCCAATTCACCAACATCATTTGTTAAAGAGGCTGTCATTTCCCCACTTAACTTATTTCATCTCCTTGTCAAAAAGCAATTGCCCATAGGTCGATGGGCTGATTTCTGAGTTTTCAATTGTATGACATTGATCTATATGTCTGTCACTAAACCAGTCCCATGCTGTCTTGACCACCATGGCTGTGTAGTAGGATTTGAGATCAAGGAGTGAGATGCCTCCTACCTTGTTCCTCTTTTTCAGGAGTGCTTTACTTACTCAGGCTGTCTTTCCATTCCAGATAAAATTGGAAATTGCCTTTTCCATCTCATTGAAGAATGGAATTGGTATGTTTATTGGGATTGCTTTGAACTTGTAGATTGCCTTCAGTAGAATTGTTATTTACATGATATCAAGTCTTCCTATCCACGAGCATGGTATATTCTTTCATTTCTCCAGGTCTCTCTTTATTTCTTAAAGTAACAAACAGATCCATCTTGGAGAGGATTAAACCAAGCTGCTCCTTGGAGGCAAGGATTCTGGGGCTTCGTCTGACATACTTTGGACATGTTGCCAGGAGGGACGGGTCCTTGGAGAGGGACATCATGCTTGGGAGGGTGGAGGGATGGCGCAGGAGGGGAAGACGCTCTATGAGATGGATTGATTCAGTCACTGGGGTAATCGGGATGGGTGTGTCAGAGGCGGTGCGGTTGGCGCAGGATAGAGCAGGGTTTAGAGCTGTTGTGCATAGGGTCGCTATGAGTCGGAAACGACTCGATGGCACATAACAACAACAATGTTTTGTAATTTTCTTTGTAAAAGTCTTTTGTGTTTCTAGTTAGATTTACTACCAAGTATTTAATCTTGTGACTAGCTGTTGTGATGGGTATTTGTTTTCTTAGCTCCATTTCTCTTTGTCCCTGTAGAGAAGTCCAATTGATTTTTATATGTTGATCTTATATCCTATTACTCTGCTGAATTGATCACCTATGTCCAGTAGAGAAGAAGACCCTTCTTTCTTTTTTGGGATAGGAAAATCAATCTTTTTAAACCCCATGTATTTATGTAAATTCAGTTCTGGCAAGGGTCCTTACTTAAGGAAGAGAGATCCTGTAAAAAGACCAGGACTTTTTACTAGGACTTAGTAAATAATTTTTATTAGGACTTTGGAATGCTGTTGTTTTTGTTCAGTACTGTCAGATCCAGTACAGCTCATAGTCACCATATGAACAACAGATCTGTACCCTTTCCTATCCTGTGTCATCCTTATCTCTGATATACTTGATCCCATTGCTGCAGCCACTGTTGTCAATCCATCTCATTCAGAGGTTTTCTCTCTTTCACTGATCTTTCCAATCAGGATGTCCTTTGCCAAGACATAGCTTCTCCTGACAATACACCCCAGTTGTGTAAGAAGAAGCATTACCATCCTTGCCTCCAAGGAGTACTTTGACTGTACTTTCTCCAAGATATATGTATTTGTTCTTTTGGCAGTCCATGGAACACTCAGCACTATTCTCTCTTTTTCAACACCACAACTCAAAGGCATCAGTCTTTTTTCTTTCATCCTTATGCATTGTCCAGCTCTCACATGTGTAGTATGTGATGGAAAAGACCATGGCTTGAATCAGTCACACTTTAGTCTTTAAGCTGATATAATTGTTTTTCAGTATTTTGGAGACGTCCCTGATAGCAGACTTTCTCAGTGCAATAAATCTTTGGATTTCTTGACTGCTGGTACTGATAGTGTCAGTTGTCGATCTGAGCAAAATTAAATCATTGACAACTTCAATTTTTCTGTATGTATTATGGTGTTGCCTACTGGCCCAGTAGTGCAGTCTTTGTTTTGTTGTTTATTTATTTGCTTGCTTTGCATTGTTTTATCAGTCTTTGTTTTCTTGATGTTGACATGTAATCCATATTTATGGCTGTAGTCTTGGATCTTCTGCAACAAGTATTTCAAGTCCTCCTCACTTTCAGGAAGCAAGGTTGTGTCATCTGCATTATGCAGGCTGTTGATGAGTTTTCCTGTGATCTTGATACCATAGATTCCAGCTTCTCAAATTATTTCTTTGGCATACAGATTGAAAAGGTATAGAGAGAGGATACAGCCCTTACACACATGCCTTTCTTGATGTAAGCCATGCAGCATGCAGTGTTCCCTTGTTTGTTCATACAGAAGCTTCTTGGTATAGGTATATATTTTGTATAAGCACAATTAAGTGTTCTGAATTATCATTCTTCACAGTATTAGCCATAGTTTGTTATTATCCACACAGTCAAATGCTTTTGCATAGTCAATGAAATATAAATTTCTATCCTTTTGGTATTCTTTGCTTTCAGCCAAGATCCATCAGACATTAGCAGTGATATCATTGTGCCACGACATCTTCTAAACCCAGCTTGAACTTCTAGGAGCTCTCTGTTGATGTCTTATTCTAGTTTTTTTAGATGATCTTCAGCAATGTTTTGCTTGCATGTGTTACTCCTAATGACATTGTTCCATAATTTCCACATTCTTTTGGATCAACTTTCTTGAAAATGGGAACCAATATGGATCTCTTCCAGTCAGTTGTCCAAGTAGCTGTCTTCCAGATTTCCTGGCGCACGCTGGTGAGCACATCCAGGGCTGCATCTTTTAGTCGAAACATGTCAGTTGATATCACATTGATTCCTGGGACCTTATTTTTTTACAATACCTTGAATTTCTTCCCTCACCACCATTGGTTCCCAACCATATGCTACTTCCAGAAATACTTCCTTGTAGATCATTTTGGTACATTGACTCTGTGTATTCCTTCTATCTTCTTCTTCTTCTTCTTTTTTTTATGGTAAATAAGCCAGTATAGAATACATCCCTGGTGTACACCCTTCCCAGTTTTGAACCATGCAGTGTTTCCTTGTTCTGACTACACATTCAGGGCAGCATCTGTTAGTTGAAATACATCAATTGGTATACCATCAATTCCTGGAGCCTTCTTTTTTGCCAGTTCCTTCAAAGCAGCTTGATCTTCTTCCTTCATCACCATAGGCTCTTGCTCATATGATTTTTCATGAAATTCTTCTGTGCCCACCAATTCCTTTTGGTACAGTGACTCTGTATACTCTTTCTGTCTTCTTTTACTACTTCCTGGATTATTTACTATTTTGCCCAAAACATCCTTAAGTATAGCAGCTCGAGGTTTGAATTTGTTCTTCAATTCCTTAAGCTTAAGAAGTGCTGAGCGAGTTCAGGTGTTTTGACAGATTATCTGGAATGCAGGGCGGTATGAAGAGAAATGTGGCATCAGGATTGGTGGAATATTCATCAACAATCAGTGTTACACAGCTGACAGAACCCCGCTTGCTGAAACTGAGGAGGACCTGAAGCACTTGCTTCCAGGACGGCTACAGAAGGTCAAGGATGGCAGCTTTCAATATGGATTGAGGCTCAATAGCCAGAAGACAAAGATTTTCACCACTGGGCCAACTGGCAGCATCACACTGGATGGTGAAGAGACTGAGATTAACAGCTTTAGTTTGCTTGGCACCACCATCTACATTCTTGGCACCAGCAGCCAGGAAATTAAAAGATGTATCATGATGGGAAAGTCTGCTATTAGAGACTTTTTCAAAGTACTGAAGAGCAGTGGTGTCACTCTGAAGACTAAGGTGCATCTGATACAGGCCATAATCTTTGCAGTCACTTGCTATGCGTCGGAGATTTGGACAGTGACTAGGGAGGATAGAAGGAGAATTGATGCCTTTCAGCTGTGGTGTTTGAGAAGAGTATTGAATGTACCACGGACTGCTAAGAAAACAAACAGGTTCATCCAGGAGAGGGTGAAACCAGGCTGCTCCTTGGAGATAAAGATTCTGAAGCTTCGTCTGACACATTTCGGATGTGTTGCAAGGAGGGACCAGTCCTTGGAGAAAGATGTCATGCTTGGGAGGGTGGAGGAACAGCGCAGGAGAGGAAGACCCTGGATGAGATGGATTGATTTAGTGACTGGGGTAATGGAGGTAGGTGTGTTGGAGACAGTGAGATTGGCACAGGATAGAGCAGGTTTTCAGGCTGTTGTACATAGGGTTGCTATGAGTCGCAGATGACTCGACAACACATAACAACAAGCCAGTATAAAATAAAAATTTTATTTAAAAAAATCATGTTTGAGAGAGAAAGAAAAAATGAAAGAAATTTACAACTTCTTCCCAAGGACACATACTCACTGTTTTACAGTCCATTCCAACTCCAAGAAACCCTGGAAGACAAAGTAGAAGTACCTCCATCTTCTTTTGCTGTTTCCTGGATAATTATCAAGATTTTGCCATTTCTCAGTATTGTAACTGGAGGCTTGAATTTATTTTTCCGCTCTTTCAGCTTGAGAAATGCTGAGCAAGTTCTTTCCTTTTTATTTCCTGTCTTCAGCTCTTTGCACCTTCTATTATAATACTTTGCTTTGTTTTCTTGAGCTTCCCTTTGAAATCTTCTATTTGTCTCTTTTACTTCACCATTTCTTCCTTTGTTTTGACTTCTTAACACACTCATGCAATTTTCAGAATCTCTTCTAACATCCACTTCGGTCTTTTCTTTCTTCTTTGTCTTTGTAAGGACTTTTGCTTTCTTCAAGGATTACATCTTTGATATTAATCATCCACAGATCTTCTGGTCTCCAGTCATTAGTGTTCAGTGCTTCAAACCTATTCTTGAGATGTTTTTAAATTCAGATGGGCTAGTCTCAAAGCCTTACTTGGTTCTTGCAGACTTGCTTTCATTTTCTTCAACTTCAGTTTTGCGTGCTGTTGAGTTGTCTACAACTCATAGTAACAATATGAACAGTGACTCTTTACCTTTCCGCATACTGAGTCAACCTCATGTCTCTGGCATCCCTGACCCCATTATCACACTGTCAGTCTGTCTCATCCAGGGTCTTTATCTCCTCTGCTGACCCTCCGCTTTTATAAGCATGATGTCCTTCTCTAAGGACTGGTTCCTCCGGAGGACAGCATGCTCAAAGTATGTGAAATGCAATTTCAAACTTCAGTTAGTCCCATATGGATTTTAGTAAAAAATTTTTCCTTTTTAAAACTTTATCACATCCCAACCTATTGTCTTCAAGTCAATTTTGCCTCATAAAAACCCTGTAAAATAGAGTAGAACTGATCAATGGGATTTCCAGGTGTATAATCTTTATAGAAGCAGATTGCGATATTTCTCCTGCTGAGCTTTTGTAAGCTTTTTTTAACAGTCCAGCACTTAACCACTGCACCACAATCACTCTTTATTATCTTTTCATTAAACTCTAATCTATGATTATTCATTTGATCATAGAGATCTTACTGTCATTAATTTATTAATTTTTACTTTTTCTTAAGTAATTTAAAAGCAAATACTAAATTTAAAATTTGGAGTGTATATTGTTATCTTTAAACTTTCTTTTTTAGGGTCTCAAGGAGAGTCACCAAATTCTCTAAAATCTTCAGTCTCTTCAAGGCAGTCTGAAGACAGTGTGATGAAGTCAGACCGCAGTGCAGTTACAGATAAACAAATACCGAAGAAAAAATCTGCCAAGCAGGACCACACAACTTTGTCTAAGGCTAATGGAAAAATGGTGGCAATGCCTAAAAGCCTAATGCAGTCAAAGAAAGGAGAAACTTTGAATACTAAAGATGCAAAACAGAAAATGCTTCCAGGACAGGTTACTTTGAAGACTCAGTCCTCTCAAAAACCTGTGAAAAGTGACTCATCAACCAAAAACAGTATGCATCATGATACACATGATAAGGGTAGTGCTTCTGAACAGAAGTTTCATGCACCTCTAAATAAGTTTACACCTGAAGTCAGTGGTACAGAAGCAACCCACCCTTCATGCACACCTGGCCCACAAAAGCCATTTAACAATAAAGAAAAAGATAAAGTGGTCATGGAAGGCAAAAATATTTCAAACCCGGATAAATCAGTAAATCATACACTGGAATCAAAACAGATTTGTTCAGATAAAAATGAAGCCAAATTACCTAATCACAAAGCAGAAGATAATTGCCATGCTACTAAAATACATTATCATTTTGATGAAAGTGATAGCATGGATATAAAATGTCATAACACTATTGTCCTAAAACCCAAGATTTCAAATCCCAATGAAAACTCCTTGAACTCTAATCTAACTTGTAATTTAGAGACAACAAATAAAGAACAAACCTCTTTAACATCAGACCGGGAGAACCAAATGGAGAGAAAAGATCAAAGCCAAAATTCATCTATTATATGTGTGAAAGATGTTTTACCTTCTGTTCCTGAAAGGACAAATAAAACTTTAAATTCTGTTCAAGATGACAGAAAATGCAATATTCATGTAGAAGGATTGGCAATTCCTAGTCACTTGTCTGATGACTCTGCTACATATAAAGACAAATGTGCAGATTCAGATGTTTCCTCTAAATGTTTTTCAGGACAAATATTGAGGAAAAATTCTCCTAAAGAAATGGAAACCATAGAAACTCCAGAGAGCCATGAAACTCTAGAAGTGCCATTCATGGGGCCTTGGAGTTTGAGTACCAGCATTCTGCATCAGAGAGAGAGTCCTGAATCTGATACTGGCAGTGCTACCACATCCTCTGATGACATAAAGCCCCGATCTGAAGACTATGATGCTGGAGGGTCTCAAGATGATGACGGGTCCAATGACAGAGGCATTTCTAAGTGTGGCACTATGGTGTGCCATGATTTTCTTGGAAGAAGTAGCAGTGATACGAGTACTCCTGAAGAATTAAAAATATATGACAGTAATCTAAGAATTGAAGTTAAAATGAAAAAGCAAAATAGTAGTGACCTTTTCCAAGTTAATTCTACAAGTGATGATGAGATTCCTAGGAAAAGGGCAGAGGTTTGGTCTCGTTCTACAGTGGTCCACCCCAGGGAGAAAGAAAATGCTCTGAGAGGCAGTATTCAGTGTGCTCAGGAAATAGATCAAATTTCTTCTTCAGCAGATGAAACAGAAGATGAAAGGTCTGAAGCAGAAATTCTTGCAGAAAGCTTCTCTACATCTAACCAAACTCCTCAGCAGTTTCAGGGAATAATTAATTTAGCTTTTGAAGATGCAACAGATAATGAAAGTCATGGATTTTCATTAACTAAAAAATTTAAAAGATCAGTTTTACTTTCAGTAGATGAATGTGAAGAGATAGGATCTGATGAAGGGGAAGTTCACACACCCTTGCAGCTTTCAATAGACTCTCTTTCACCATCTGATGTCTTTGATGGCATTTCTCATGAACATCATGGAAGGAACTGCTATTCTAGTAACTTGAAAGAAAGTGAAAATTGCAATTTAGAATGTAAACCAGATAAAGGCAATAGTTTATATAAAAGTCAAAACACTTTCTTGGGTCCTAGTAGCATTTATTCTTCAAGAAAAGATCAACAGAGTACCATTGCCTCAGGAAAAAATCTCGGCTTCAATGTTCTGTCCAAAGGAGGCAGAACACTGCTTTCAGAAGAATCAAAAGTAAACAGGGGAGGTGATGCAAATAATGACTTTGAGCAACATAGCAAATTTCTAGACAGTGATACAAAAAATCAAGAAAGACCATGCCATTTGGAGCTTCATCAAAAAGAACCCAATTCTGACATACCAAAGAACAACTCTACAAAATCTATAGACTCCTATCAGAGCCAAGTTCTGCCTCAGGAAGGTCAAGTGAAAGAGAGCCATCCCACAGCTACTGAAAAAGCCAATATTGCTTTACCTGCAGGTAATGTACAGAAATAGAAATTCTAAATCCATAAGAAAATGATTTTATAGAATTTTGAAGTTGTATCTAGCCCTGAATCATATATTTTAGGCAGGTTGGGTAATTTCTTAAGCAGCAGGTTCAAATTTTAAATGAAAAATTACATTTCTTAAGAATATGGAAATTAACTAAATGTTGTTCTTTATTGTTCACTTAAAAGCTGGGTGAAGATTTAATACCTAGTAAAAAAATTTTGGTTGTCTATGAAACAAAGCTAATCTAAAAGATTTTACGTGAAGGAATTTTTAAGACTACTTAGTTTGCTATTTAGTTTTTGTCTAACATAGAAATTCTTGACTATTAGAAATTTTATTATTCATTGAATATGATTTAGGAACTATGCTAGTATATGTCTAAGAGGGCTGTGCAATAACTATGGGAATATGGAACTAAAAGCACTGAACTATTTTAACAGCTAAATTAACTTAAAATTTATATACATTTTACAATGATTGAGACTTTCAGGAGCACTATAATTATATTCTAAAATTTTCAAGTTAAAATGAGAAATGTCATTAAAGAGATTATATTTAGGAACAGTGGTTATCTGTTAAAAATCCCAGGCATATTGCATGTGTTTTGATGATTTCCTGTCTAATTGTTTCATGTGTTTGTCTTCCTTATTGCAGTAACTTGAAACAAATACCCAAATTTAAAATATACAATAGTGGCTGATAGTGATCGATAGTCCCTGTTCAGCAAAATAAAAGAGAATAGGGAGATCTCCACAAGTTGTACTTTTCATTTTTTTTGTCCTTGCCTGCATCCTCCTTTGCATGTGCAATATTCGGATAAGCCTTTAGACAAAATGTATTTATTCTTCCTTTTGAAAATGACTTACTTTAAAAGTCACCATAAAATAACTGCACCTTTTCCCCTTTTAAGTTTATATTCTAGTGAATTTTATATATGTGTGCATTCTGTGTTTCTGTTTAAATGATTTATGTTGTTTTCTGTATCACAAGTTTTCAAGTTAAAATATGGAGAATTGTTAGATGCCAATATGATTTTGCTGCTAAAAATACCCTTGAGTTGATTTTTTTGTTTTCTTACATAGAAAAAGAATTGACTTAAGAATCTCATCAGTTTTGTATAAATGTTATTTTCCCCATTCTATGTTTTTTTGAATTATCACTGTTCTGTTGTGTTGATATTGGTCTACAGAACTCTGAGGGGTAACAACATGTGCAATTTTTACATTGTGTAGTATTATGAATTATTTCAGGAGACATAGATGATTGTGACACTGTGGCACAAACCTGCATGTATGATCATCGGCCTTCAAAAGCCCTCTCTCCAATATATGAGATGGATGTAATAGAAGCTTTCGAACAGAAAGTGGAGTCAAAATCACACTTTATGAACATAGATTTTGAAGATAGCCAGCACTTTGCAAAACAGGATTGGACACTACTAAAGCAGCTGCTCTCGGAAGAGGATTCAAACTTGAATATTACAAGTTCTGTTCCTGAAGATTTAAATTTAGCACAGTATCTAATTAATCAGACATTACTTTTAGCACGAGACAGCTCAAAACCTCAGGGTAAAGCACATGTTGACACTTTGAACAGATGGAGTGAGATTACATCTCCACTGGATGATTCCTCCGCAAGCATTACCATGGCGAGTTTTTCCTCTGAAGATTGTTCACCCCAAGGGGAATGGACAATTCTGGAACTGGAAACTCAGCATTAAGAGTATTAACTTTTTTGGAAAATTTTAAACTATGCCACCTTTTTATTTTTTTGATGCTTATATATATAACATTAGCCAGACACAGACTATCCTTAATCTTGAAGGAGTCTTTCCAGTTATAGTTTATTTATTAATATGATATCACACATAGCAAAAATGTTTTTTACATTTTTGAGCATGTTTTCTATATTGCTAGAGAAATTCGAAGACTTGTAAGGAAATCCTAGCTTCAGTCCTTCTTTCCTGATGTGAATGCACTTTACTTTTTGCACTGCATATAGTAACAATTTAACAGTAAGAATTTACATGCCTGTGTCAGTTTATGTAGTGTAAATCTATGAATGACATTCATACTCAGGTTGGTGTGATTGAGGCTAATAGCTGAGCTTTAGGGGAAAAGAAGTCTCACTTTCCCAACAATTCAGGTTCAAAATACTGTGAGGTAAACACACCACATTGTTACTAAAACTATGAGGAATGAAATCCTCTGTGCCTCTCTTGTAGGGATGTATCTAGAGAGAGGCCTCTGTCCTTGTTTGAATGAAGAAACTATCCATCTTCCTATCTAGATAGATATCCTTTACAGCTATTTGAACATTCTCCATTTTCTATTCCATGATAGGGTATTTTGGAACTGTGCCTGCAAGAAACAATAATTTATAAGTAGATACATGAATCATTGAGGAAGTATTTGAGTTAAAGTTGCGTGCATGTTTGTTTGCTTTCTTAGCTTGTCTATACACCCTAGTTCCTGAATTTCTTGATCACATTATTTTTCAGTCTGTAATACTTGTAGAAAGGTTAAAATGTGAAGCTTTTCCACAGATTTCTGTTAGCGAGCATGATCTTGGATACCTACGTGATTTTGGAGAATATTGCCTCAATAGAATGGTGAGATTTAGTAGAATTATCCAGTTGGTTTTGACAACACCAACTCATGGCAACTCCATGTGTGTCAGAAGAGAACTGTATTCCACAGGGTCTTCAATTACATGATTTTTCAGAAGCAGATCACCAGGCTTTCCTCTCAATGGTGGACTTGAATGTCTAACCTTTCAGGTAGCAGCTCAGTGCATTAGCCTTTTGCACCACTCAGGGACTCCCTTAATAGAATTAGCCTCTTACCTAAAACATTGTACTTAACTCATAATTTCTCTAAAATATGTCCGAGGCAAAGAAATGTTGTAGTTTGGAATTTCTTTTCTAAGTTAGCAAAATTTTCCACAGATTATCAATAATAAATTAATAATCTGTAATTCTTTTCAACATATACTATAATTTGTTATTCTTGCATAATGAAATAGTTATATAGTATTAGCAACCAATCTATTATAGCATAAAACTTCTATGTGTTTTTAATGTAAAGCTCCATGTAGGGGAGCATTCATTCTTGCATATTTACATTCAAAAGTCAAGAAACAGTAAGAGTAAAAAAATAGAGCTTTTAAATACTTGTATGGGAAAAAATAAGGGTTGTTTCCTCCTCACCACCCAAAGAATATGTTTGGTGTTTATTAAAAAGACCTTGTAAGAAAATAATTAAAATACAAGATTATAGAAACTATATATTTTAGAGGTAGGTTGGAATTTAGAGATTATTTATTTAATCTCCTCATGTTTAACATGAGGACTCTGATGCTCAGAGAAATGAAGAGACTGTTCAAGATTGTACAGCTCATTTGCCATCTAGAATCCGATACTCCTTCCTTTCATTTTGGTGTTATTCCTCTACAGAACAATATGCTTCATTTGAGTGGTTTGTAATATAAAATGTGTTATATCATAGTCAAACTGCATAACTCCCTGAGACAGTGTTATTTTCTTTGTCTTCAAATGTGAAATTGTTTTAAGTATGTTTTTTTTAAATAAACTTCCTCATAGGCTCACAGATGTGTCATCAAAATTCCATTTCTTTTTTAAAATTTCAGAATCTTGAAAGCTTTTTAAAAAATGCTATTAAATATCAACATGTTATTCAGTCACACCTGCAAATAGTTAAAAGGCATTTTGTTTAAATAATCGCTTGTTTCAGGCCACATCATGTTTTTTCACATCATGCTTTTTTAAACACATGTTGTCTAAGTCTGCTGTGGGATTCTGGGCTTAATGCTTGATCATTCAGCAAGAATATATTGAAAATTAATTGCTAACATTTATTTTGCACTTGTTAAAATTTAGACACTGTTGTGTGCTTTAAATATGCATTAACACACTTAATTCTCAGCAGTACTAGGAAGTATGTCTTCTCATAATTATTTTATTCACAGTGAAACTGATGTCGAGTCTACCTCCTAAGTGAGCTGTCCGAGTGGAAGAGACCAAAAGAGATAGTACTACGGTTTGATAAGCTAAAAGGCATACGTGGCTGCTATTATAAGAAACAGAGAAACTAATAGATTGTCAAAATAGAACTAAATAACACTTCTGAGGATAAGTAATGTTCAGGTCTGGACAATTTCAGAATTTCTAGTAGTTTGGCAACTTTTTAGTTAGCAGCCAATGATGTAATGACTGCATCACCAGGACTCCTTGGAGTAAATGTTTAGCGTTTGTAATCTAGTTGGAAGTGTCAGCTAGAGGAGTTGCCTTGAAGATGCACTTACATAGAAAATATTTGCTTTAATTTATATATTGTAGTTCAATAAAATAAAATCACCAGTCATCCACACAGAACTATTATTTTTATTTGGGGTTTTTTTCTTTTTTAGAGGACTAATGAAAGATTATGGAGAAGATGTAAAAACTTGTTAAACTATCTCTTGAAGCTACTGGGTAACCTGTAGTTTATTACAGACAGTTGCCTTTGAAGTATGAATGAGAACTTGTATGGTGCTAGGCCATTCTAGACAGAGGAGCACAGAGAGGAATCATGGCCAGGATGGGGGTAAAGAGTGTTGTTAGGTGCCTCTGAATTAACTATCACTCATAAATTAACTCCACTCATAAATTAACTGCCACCTTATGAATGGCAAACTGACAGAAAAGAGTGGTGGAGGAAAAAAGTAGGAAATATAAAGATGTGAACTATAACTGGTGATTGAAAGTTACTAAATGCCATGTTTACCTTCATAAATAGTTGAAGTCTTGAATTCACAAGACATGCTCTTTCATTATGCATTAATTTAGTTTTAATTCTCAGTAGAAAATAATCCAGTTCCATATTCTTGAGAACTTAACCATCTATAACTCACACTAGTCACAAAAATATGGTGGAACTTTAAAAGTAGATAGGTAATATAATTAGATCCTTTTTTAAAGCTAACTTTCAGTAGTACAGAAGATGATGTGCTTTGAAGAAGACCCACATGTCAAGAAGTAGTTAAAACAATTCAGTCTTAACAAAGAATAAACAAAGATGTCTGGAAACATATATTAAATAGGTTAACTTAGAACATCTTCAAAGACAGTTTCCCAAAAACATAATGTACACAAATAGCAAGGATTAGGATGTCAGCATTTCTTTTTAAAAGACAAAATTTAAACCATAATAAAGGCCAAGATGAGGAGTGAGGACATATGGTAGTATGTTGTTAGGTGCCATCGAGTCAAGTACAATACATAGTGACAGACTCAGATCTGAACTCTGTCCTATCCTGTACCATCCTCACAATCTCTGGCACACTCAAGTCCACTGCTGAAGTCACTGTCAATCCACCTGGTTGAGGGCCTTCCTCAAAATTATATTAAAGATGCTGTTGGGTAAACTCTGCATTCATTTGAGTTATTTTTCTTTGATATAGGGAGCTTTGATGGATAGTCCATAGGATTACACTGCTAACTCAGTTGATTTGAGGGAGAAAGATGGGCAGTCTCCTTCCACACAATCTATAGCCATGGAAACCCAGTGGAGAGTCAGCTATGACTCAGTTCCAACTCAACAGCAATAAGATTTTAACCGAGCATGGATATGAATTTTTCCCCCAATCAGTTCATCAGCCAGTTACCTTCCAAATTTATTGACACAGTTGAGTGATTACTCTTAAATCTGGTATTCATTTACTGAAATATTTCATTTGGTATTCCATCAATTCCTGGAGCCATGGTTTTGTGGGGTTTTCTTTTTTTCCCCCCTCGGGGACATCTTTTATACCTGTATTTTTGGTGCAGCTTGCAATTCATCCTTCAGTATCGCTGACTCTTCATCTTATGCTACCTCTTGAAATAGTGAAGTATCAACCCATTATTTTTGGTGCAGTAATTCTGTGTATTCCTTCTATCTTTTTATATTTTCTTCATCATTTAATATTGCCCATGGAATCCTTCAGTCTTGCTCCTGAGGTTTGACTTCCCCCCTCCCCCATTTCTTTTGGCTTGAGAAATGCATGTTCTTCCTATTTGCTTTTCTGTCTCCAGGTCTTTGCATATTCAATTATAATACTTGCTCTTTTTGAGCCACTTTGATATCTTTTGTTCACCTCTATTTTTCATTTCTTACCTATTTGGCTTTTTGTTTTAGAGCAATTTTTAATCTGTTCTGACATTTGTTTTGGTCTTCTTTTTTTCAGTCTTTTTAATGAGCTTTTGCTTTTTTTTGCTTCTGATATCATCCCATGTCTTGTCTGGTCTCTGGTATCTTAAGTGGCATAGCCTCCACTATCACAGCAACATGGCATATTAAGGAGCAAGGATGTCAGTGAAAAGACTAAGGTGGGGTGGGCTTGACCTAAGCCATCATGTTTTCAGTTGCTTCATACACCTGTGAAAGTTGGGTAATGAGTAAAACAGACCGGAGAAGAATTAATACTTCAGAATTGTGATGTCAGCAAAGAGGACAGAATATACTCTATGGGTTTCTAAAAGTACAAATTTGTCTGGAGGAATTGCACCCAGGATACTCCTTAGAAGCAGGGAAGATAAAATTTTATCTCACATACTTTGGACATGTTATCAGGAGATACTAGGCTTTGGGAAAGATATGTTGGGTGGAAGATATGCTGCAGAATGTCAGAGAACATGAGAAATACCTTCAAAGGGAAAGACTGACACAATAACTGCAACAA